GGTCGCTGGGGGGGACCCGGGCGGAGTCGCCAGGGCGGGATCCGGGCGAGGTCTCTGGGAGTCCCGGGGGAGGGGGGGTCCCGGGGAGGGCCCCAGGGATCGTGGCCTCCCACTGGGGGGGTCCTGCCTGTGGACCAGGGGACCCAGGTGGGTGGTCCTCCTGTGGACAAGGGGGTCTCAGGAGCCCTCCCCCCCCCCTTCCCCTGTGGACACAGGGGCCCTCCTCCCGGACCCCCCCCCCGGAGGCACCCTCCTCACCCGTATCTGCCGTTGCAAGGCTCAGATCCGCTCCGAGGCGGCTCCACGTGACTACGGAGAACCCCAAGGAGTCCCCCAAGAGGCCCCCCAACACACCCCAAGAAGCTCTAAATAGAGCCCCAAGAAAGGCTCCAGAGCGTCAGCGTCGTCGTCATCGTCGCCAGCGCCGCCGCCGTCGGCGGCACCGACCATAAGGCTTTCCCAATATCAATGTTTGAAATCCTGCGCGTAGAAAGACAATGCACGGAGAAGGCGGGACACTCTCAACACGTCTTCGGGGGAGGGGAGGGGAGGGGGGGAGAAGGGAGAAGGAAGAGAAGCGGGGAAAAAGGAGGAAAAGAAACAAGGGGAAGAGGAGATGGACGAGGGAGCGCGACGAGAACCAGGGGCAAGGATGAGCAAGAGAAAAGAGAGGAGGAGGGAGGAGGATAAAAAGGGAGGCAGATGAAGACGAGGAGGGAGGGGGACGGAGGAGGAGGAGAAAGAGGCAGGAGGGGGAGGGAAGGGGGACGGGAGACGGGGAGAAAGGGAGGAGCTAACGGAGAAGATCGACGACGATAGAGGATCAAAGTTTGGGGGCGTCTTTGGTTCTTTTGGGGTTGAAGCCTCCAGGGGCCTCCATGGGCCCCAGCGACCACCAGGGACCTCTGGGGGCCTCGGGGGACCTCGGGAGATCAGAGAGATAGAGAGAGAGAGAGACGAAGACAGGGAGGGAGATGGAAGGATGGAGCCCGTGCTAGTATTCGCTGCCATAACACACGTTATGTGGGGGACTTAGCGTAAGGCCCCCCCCCGCCGTGTGGCTCTAGCACCACAGCGCCTGTGCGCATCATAGCAAGCACCACAATGCGCAGCACAGTACGCACCGCCGCAGCCACCTGCACCACATCGCCTACATCACCGCGACGAAAGGTTCTTTCAATCTGCCTTCGCCAACAGCGCATCAGCGCGGAGTAGCTCGGAATAGAAATGCTCCAACAACTCCGCGCGTGGGCGCATCGCTTCGATCATTCGAAGGGTTTGGCGCGGAGTAGTTTCCGATCCAGTTTGGGGGTAACAGAGTTATGAGCACTAGGCGGGTCGTAAACTACTCCGCCGAATGACGCAGTCATCATGTTATGTTAGGAATAGTTAGGCGAACAGATGACATCATCGGCTGTACATGTACTGCGCAGCGCATACGTGCACCATCGTGCAACACCACATTGTTTGCATCCTCCATATGTTACTTCGGGCATGATTGTGTGTTGGTGTTTGCTGCTGCTGTATTGCATCTCCGTTGCACCGTAAAGGGTGCTACAGTACTCTGGTTATACCGCCTCCAGAACCGACGCATAGCACGAAAATCCTCAAATTTGTACGGCACCGCCTGTTTCCGATGCGTGCTGCTTGCGTGCACCACAGCGCCCGCGTGCGCCACAGCGCCTGCGTGCACCACAGCAGCCGCGTTCACCGCATCGCCTGCGCACGCCGCAACGCGCGGGTGCACCACAGCGCTTGCGGATACCACAACCCCTGCGTTGATTACACTTCTGTTCTAGATATGGGTTCTGCACAGAGTCCGGGCGCCCCTTGGCCCGAAGGAAACGGCGGGCAGCACTCTTGCCTGCAAGCACGCACGATACGGGCGAACAGCTGCGAGAACATGATTGCAATTCTGTTGGCACCCCAGTAGCTTGCGAGCACCACGGCGCGCCTGTGAGCAATTAGTTAGCTGCACTTGCGACGACCACACGGCCGAATGGCGCAAGCCTCTCGGATAACGCCCTGTTAGCCACGCTGCGAACCTCGAGCATGGAACCTCGATCCTCCGACTGGTACCCAACCAACACAAATCCCTTCGACCTCAGCTCGTGGCCAACCGCAGCCAGATGTTCGAGCTGCGCGCGGCCGCGGCGACAAGGGCCTCCAGAGCCGCCCCGAAAACAACCAGAAGGACGACTACTACGACCAGAGGCCAACGCCAACCAGGACGACTACAACGACTCCGATCCTGACGACTACCACGATGACGACCGCGACGACGATCAAGGACAACTATGACGACGATCGCGACGATTGCGAATACTACGACGACTGCGACTGTCACGACGACAGTCACAACGAAGACCACACGCCGACGACGATCATCGGTACGACCAAAATAAGCACGACAACCATGGCGATTTCGACGACGACGACGACAACAACACTTACGACAAACACAACAACGATCACCACGACCACAAGACAACCACGACGACGATTACAAGGATACCCCGTTCCCCCGCCAACTCCTCCTCCTCCTCATCCTCCCCCTCCTCCTCCTCCTCCTCCTCCTCCTCCTCCTCTTCCTCCTCATCCTCCTCCTGATGCTGTTTTTGTTGCTGCGAATGTTGCCACTACTTCTGCTACCAATGCCACTACCACAACTCTCGCGGCGCTGCCAACACCTAAATACCGAGAGAACCTCGCGCCCGTTCGCAAAAACTGCCGGACCATGCGTGTGCGACAACAGCCTGCGAGCGCAGCACCATGTCTGCGAGCACGAGTAATGAGCCTGTCAACGCCACGCTAGGCCGTGAACGCTAAAAGTAGCCTGCAAGCATCAGAATGGCAGTACAGAGAGCGCACTACGGGGGAGAGGAGGGAGCGTTACGTTTATGCGGGGGCACAACGCGCGTTACGGCCCAGAGGGTCTGAAAACACGCTCATGGAGCAAGGGAGGGAGCGCGAGAGGAAGAGGGACAGACAGGGAGACGCCTTGCCATCCCGCGGACGAAGGTCGGACACTCCTAGCGCCAGAGGGTACGCAAGGCCGCGCCAACGCTCCCTCTGGGCCACCGCCCCCTTCCCCCCGCCCCCCGAACATCTGGGGGGGCCGAGCTCGGATGAAGCCCCAAGAAAACCCAACCCTCCCCAACGCGCCCCGAACACCACAGCGCAGAGGTAAGTTCGATCAGCACGCAATTGAACTCAGAAGACGTCGGTCTTACCCCAGAAATCCTTGCCGCCATCCGCGAAGAGCAGCCTCGCGCCCTTCTCGAGCTGCTGCTCGTCCGCCTGCGCGTTGCAATCCTACGGGCCCGCAAACGGCAGGAACGCATCTCGCTTGAATACCCACATGCCCTGCAGGCCCATCTGCCCGCATGGACCCGCATCGGCGCCCACCTGCGCCTCGAAGATTAGACGACACCTGGCTTCCGATGGATCGCGAGCGCCCACGCCATCACCCTCCATGCGCACAGCCTCGCAGTTGCATTTTCGGCCGCCCCACTCCGCGTCGAACAATCCGTAAGAAGCGACGCCGATGGAATACACACCTTTGCCGTCGCTGGTGTGGGCGAAGATCTTGGCCCCGTCCGAAACTTTGATGAAGCCATACCTCTACATGGCGCCAAACTGCTCAGCGCCCCATCCTGCGGTCCTGGCTTTGTTGGCACGGGCCCCAGCAGCTTGGGCCCCGAAGCGCCAGATCGACACCCGCGCGGGCAGCTCCAGGGGCCTGGCTCTGGGCGGCCGCCTCCTTGCTTGCTCCTGCCCGCAGCCCAGCAGCTTGGACGCAGACGGCCCAGCCGCGAGAAGCAGAATCGCCTTGGGAGCCCGTCTGAGCAGCAGCGGCGCATCTGGCAGCTGCGAGCCCGAAGGAATTGTTCGGCACGTCGCCCCCGAAGCCTGGTGGGGCGCCAGCCTAGCCGGCGCAACCTGAGAGCTCGGATGCATTGAGGTCCCCCACCTCTTGGCAAGTGTCCCCGCTGACATCATTATTGCTGACGTCGCAGTACTCACATTGGGCGGCGCATTCCAGTCGGCTTCGCCAAATGGTCTGTCCACAGAAGCCCCTTGCCGTCGCGTCCCAGACCCAACTCGCAGCGCTTGGTTTGATGACCTGCCGGGCCGTCGCACTCCTCTAGTGCCTTGGCGGCGTCACTGCCCTTCGTGTCCTTGCAGTCCGTTGCTTCGCCGAACTGCGATTTGTTCTGCGAGCGGCCGCGCTTGTCCAGCCCACCCCGCACACCCGCAGCGCGCGAGTTGACCGTCAAATGCCTTCCGAATGCGGATGGGCCCCATTGCACAGACGTGAGACACCTGCTGCTGAGCCGAAATGAACTGTCCCATCTCTCAGCTGCTGGTGGGATCGGCGAAGACGTTATGCACGCCGCACGCCGCCGACGCGCCGCCGCCCCCGTTCATACCGCCCGCCCTTACCTCGGCCGCCCGTCGCCCTGGGGGCGGCCCACACGCGCAAGCCAGGCCCAACAACCTCGGTGACGACATGCTGCCCCGCGAGCGCACTTTCACGATGCTCGCCAGATTGTCGCCCGGCTCCCGCACGGGCAACCCTGGCGGGTAAGATGCACATCTGGACCTCTGGGCCCCTCTTGCCCAGCAGCCTGAGGCGCGGTAGATGTAGGCAAAAGTCTGGCCTCTGGCCAGGCCAGCGTTTTATGCATAGCCAACGCGCCTCATGCCTCCCGCATCCCTCCGTGAGAAATCCAAGACGTCGTGGGTGCGGATAGAACCCTTGCCCGCAACGACCGCCTGCACCATCAGCTTCACCATGCACTGCCTGCCCAACGCTCCTTAGATCGGCGGCGTCTCGGACACGAGTTGCAGCCAGGCTGCGATGGCACAGGCAAGGGAAGGCACGAGGGGAAAGGGGGTGGGGAGGGCCCCCCGGGGCGGCCAGAGCGCCCTCACAACCAGAAAAACACGTCCAGGGAAACTTATGCACCGATACCTTTACTCCCCGGATCTTTCCCAGGGTGCGTTCTGACCAGGAGTTCGAAGCGAATCCGGCGGTGGCGACGAGGGCCTCCCAGGAGGCGGAAACAGGTGAAAACGCGGGAAGGGTAACGGCATGGGTAGCTTCGGGCTGTGCCGGAGGCAGGCTCACGAACTCGACGCAGGCTGCCCAGCACGCTGCCGAGCCAAACAAGGATGCCGGACGGGTTCGGCAGGCTCCAGGTCCGGCCACGGCGGCTACCGCCGAGGCGAAGGTGCGCCGCGCCCACTCCACCTGCGCGCGCCCAACCCCACCCTTCAGGGGATAAGGCTTTAACCAGAATGGCTACTCAGAAAAGCATGGATAGAGAGAAATGGGGGGAGATGAGAGAGAGCAAGAGACAGAGGTTTAGAGAATGAGAGAGGGATAAAGAGAGAGAGAGAGAGAGAAAAACAAAATTACCCCAGTGCGACCCTACCTGGAAGTTGGAGCCCCTAGGAAAGCAGCACTAGTTGCTATGCTATGCTATGCTATGCCATGCTATGCTGCGCTATGTTATGCTATGTCATGCTATGCTATGCTATGCTATGATATGCTATGCTATGCTATGATATGCTATACTAAGCTATGATATGCTATGATATGTCATGCTGCGCTGTGTTATGCTAAGCTATGCTATGCTATGTTATGCTCTGCTATGCTATGCGATGCTGCGCGGTGCCATGCTGTGCTGTGCTGTGCTGCGCTATGCTATGCTATGCTATGCTGCGCTATGCTATGCTGTGCTGGGCTTTGCTATGATATGCTGTGCTGCGCTATGCTGTGCTACGCTCTGCTATGCTATGCTGTGCTCTGCTATGCTAAAGCTCGGCGAAGCTAAGATGAAGGTAAGCTAAGCTAAGATAAACCTGAGCTAAGATGAAGCTAAGCGGAGCTAAGATGAAATAAGCTAAGCTAAGATGAGATAAGCAACGCTAAGCTAAGGGAGCGTCACTGGGGGAACCGCGGGGCGGATCCTGGGGGAACCGCCCGGGGCGGGACCCACTGCCCGGCCCCTTAAGTACACAGGGTAAGAACCCTTCTAGGCAGAGCCTGGGTAGGGAAAAAGAGAGAGAGAGAGAGGAAGGGAGGAGGGCAGGAGGAAGAGCGCCAGCGGGACAGAAGGAGGCCAGAAGAAGAGAAGGATTGAGAGAAAGAGAGGGGGGGGGAGTCAGCCGTGGCGACTAGGAGGCCCCCCCCGATGGGCAACAGGCGAGGAGGAAGGGGAGGAGGGAGCAGGGACGACGGAGGAGGAGGGAGGAGGGAGAAGAAGAAATGTGCCAACCTATCCACATCACTGCAAGATACAAGACATAGTGTGCACCCGCGTTGGAGCCCTTGCCGCGCACCTTCATTTGGTCTAGGAATGAATATGCCCACTTGCTCGGGTACCCCTGGTCATGTGCGTCTCCAGCGTTTCGGCGTGTGGCTGGCTATCATCATCATGACCTGCCACAACCAACCATACGGGGCAGGCCGACGCTGCCACGAACAGCACCTCCGTTTCCGCATGTGTGAAACATCCAATGTGTGCCACACCCAAATCGCAAGAAAATCTCAAGCGGGCTCAGTGCGATGAGCGTTAAAAGCTGAGCTGCCTGCCAGCTTAGCTTTTTGGCCTTCAGGGAAGGGAGGAAACAACTGAAGAGAAGAGGGAGGAGGGAGGGGCGAGGGGGTAGGAGTGAGGGGGGTCGAAAGGGGGGTACCAGATCAGAGGGGGAAACATCCACCTGGAATCAGCACTACATCGCCGATCAGAAATCGGCGGTAGGGCCACGATGGCCAAAATGGCACGCTCCTGGGCGGAGTGGGGGCAACAGGCCCTGGTTGGTGATAACTGGGCGATGGGGGGGCCCCGCCTCGGCCAGTCCCCCCCCCCCCCTGTCGCCCACCCTGGGGAGGGGGGAGGGCAGAGGAGTGCGAGGGCAGGGAGAACGGCGAGAGCGAGGACGGCGAGGGGAAGAGCAGAAGGAGGATATGAACTGAGGAGGAGCGGAGGGCAGGAGAAGGAGCAGGAGGGGCGGGAGAACGGAAACCAGATGGTGGTGGCAG